GAGTTTTTATGAGGATAGTGAGGCTCAGGTTAGGGTGTGTAGAAGAGAGGGAGAATACTTCCCGGTAAAAGTAGGTCTTAGACAGGGATGTGTAATGTCACCATGGTTGTTTAATATATTTATAGATGGGGTTGTAAAGGAAGTAAATGCTAGGGTGTTCGGGAGATGGGTGGGATTAAATTTTGGGGAATCAAATTCAAAATGGGAATTGACACAGTTACTTTTTGCTGATGATACTGTGCTTATGGGAGATTCTAAAGAAAAATTGCAAAGGTTAGTGGATGAGTTTGGGAATGTGTGTAAAGGTAGAAAGTTGAAAGTGAACATAGTAAAGAGTAAGGTGATGAGGGTGTCAAATGATTTAGATAAAGAAAAATTGGATATCAAATTGGGGAGGAGGAGTATGGAAGAAGTGAATGTTTTCAGATACTTGGGAGTTGACGTGTCGGCGGATGGATTTATGAAGGATGAGGTTAATCATAGAATTGATGAGGGGAAAAAAGATGAGTTGTGCATTGAGGTATATGTGGAGTCAAAAAACGTTATCTATGGAGGCAAAGAAGGGAATGTATGAAAGTATAGTAGTACCAACACTCTTATATGGGTGTGAAGCTTGGGTGGTAAATGCAGCAGCGAGGAGACGGTTGGAGGCAGTGGAGATGTCCTGTTTAAGGGCAATGTGTGGTGTAAATATTATGCAGAAAATTCGGAGTGTGGAAATTAGGAAAAGGTGTGGAGTTAATAAAAGTATTAGTCAGAGGGCAGAAGAGGGGTTGTTGAGGTGGTTTGGTCATTTAGAGAGAATGGATCAAAGTAGAATGACATGGAAAGCATATAAATCTATAGGGGAAGGAAGGCGGGGTAGGGGTCGTCCTCGAAAGGGTTGGAGAGAGGGGGTAAAGGAGGTTTTGTGGGCGAGGGGCTTGGACTTCCAGCAAGCGTGCATGAGCGTGTTAGATAGGAGTGAATGGAGACGAATGATACTTGGGACCTGACGATCTGTTGGAGTGTGAGCAGGGTAATATTTAGTGAAGGGATTCAAGGAAACCGGTTATTTTCATATAGTCGGACTTGAGTCCTGGAAATGGGAAGTACACAATGCCTGCACTTTAAGGAGGGGTTTGAGATATTGGCAGTTTGGAGGGGTATGTTGTGTATCTTTATATGTATATGCTTCTAAACTGTTGTATTCTGAGCACCTCTGCAAAAACAGTGATAATGTGTGAGTGTGGTGAAAGTGTTGAATGATGATGAAAGTATTTTCTTTTTGGGGATTTTCTTTCTTTTTTGGGTCACCCTGCCTCGGTGGGAGACGGCCGACTTGTTGAAAAAAAAAAAATAACAATTATAATAGATGGCTTCAAAAGGCCGTCACTAGATGGCAGTGTTTACCACAACAAAGGGGGAGAGGTTGTGGCTGCCTCCACTTGTTACATAATGACATATTTTATTCATTCTAGAGTATATATCATGTTTCTATGTTATTCATATTGTTTGTTATGTCATATTAGATGAACTGTGATAGATAAATAAGCCGTATAGATGATATCAGCTAAATTATTCATAAAGTATGTATTTTGCCCGGTCTCCAGACAAACTTTCATCCACCGCCGACACCGCCCATACCACCACATGAATGACATATTTTATTGATTTTAGAGTATATATCAGGTTTGTATGTTATTTATATTGTTTATTATGTCATATTAGATGAAGTGAGATAGATAAATAAGCCGTAGAGTTGATGTTAGAGAAATTATTGAAGTACAGAATTCCACTGGAACGGATTAATTGCATTTCAATTAATTTAACCTGTAAATGGTCCAAGATAAGATAAGATAAGATAAGATTTCGTTCGGATTTTTAACCCCGGAGGGTTAGCCACCCAGGATAACCCAAGAAAGTCAGTGCGTCATCGAGGACTGTCTAACTTATTTCCATTGGGGTCCTTAATCTTGTCCCCCAGGATGCGACCCACACCAGTCGACTAACACCCAGGTACCTATTTGCTGCTAGGTGAACAGGACAATAGGTGTAAGGAAACGTGTCGGAATTTCCACCCGCCGGGAATCGAACCCGGGCCCTCCGAGTGTGAAGCGGGAGTTTTAGCCACCAGACCACGTATATATACGTTTTTTCAACGTTTGAAAGTATGTAAAAAAGGTAGATATTCTTTTTTTTTCTTTTACATTTGAAAATGTGTAAAAAAACTTAGATCTACTTTTTTTTTTGTTATATTTGAAAATATGTAAAAAAACATAGATCTACTTTTGGAGCATTACACATGTGAACGTAGATCTGTTTGGATCATTTACGGGTTAAATGAGGAAAATTGACTCTGCAAACGAGCAAATCCAGTTGCGAGCAAGGTCATGGAACGGGTTAAACTCGCAAGTAGAGGTTCCACTGTAATTGAGGATAGATGGGCTAGTGAGAGTATATTCAATGGGGTCGAAGATGTATGGGGCAGGTTTAAGAATGTAGTGTTAGAGTGCTCAGCAGAAGTTTGTGGTTACAGGAAAGTGGGTGTGGGAGGGAAGAAGAGCGATTGGTGGAATGTTGATGTAAGAGAGAAAAAGTTAACATATGAGAGGTTTTTACAAAGTAGAAGTGATGAAAGGAGGGAGGAATATATGGACAGAAAAAGAGGTTAAGAGAGTGGTGAAGCAATGTAAAATGCGAGCAAATGAGAGAGTGGGTGAGATGTTATCAACATATTTTGTTTAAAATAAGAAAAAGTTTTGTAGCGAGATTAATAAGTTGAGGAAGCCTAGAGAACAAATGAATTTGTCAGTTAAAAATAGGAGAGGAGAGTTATTAAATGGAGAGTTAGAGGTACTAGGAAAATGGTATAGGGCAACAAGAAATAACATCTAGTAGGAGTGAGGAGGAGGAGCAAGTTGTGAGTGTGGGGAAAGTTCATGAGGCAGTGGGTAGAATGAAAAAGGGTAAAACAGCTGGGATTGATGGATAAAGATGGAAATGTTAAAAACAGGTGGGGATATAGTTTTGGAGTGGCTAGTGCTCTTACTTAATAAATGTATGGAAGAGGGTAAGGTACCTAAGGATTGGCAGAGAGCGTGCATAGTTCCTTTCTATAAAGGTAAAGGGGACAAAAGAGAGTGCAAAAATTATAGGGGAATAAGTCTGTTGAGTATACCTGGTAAAGTGTATGGTAGACTTATTATTGAAAGAAGTAAGAGTAAGACAGAGTAGAATAGCAGATGAACAAGGAGGCTTTAGGAGGGGTAGAGGGTGTGTAAATCAAGTGTTTACAGTGAAACATTTAGGTGAACAGTATTTAGATAATGGTAAAGGGCAGTGTGGCAGATATTGCAGATGTATGGAATAGGAAGTAGGTTATTGATAGCAATGAAAAGTTTTTATGAGGATCGTGAGTCTCAGGTTAGAGTATGTAGGAGAGAGGGTGATTATTTCCCAGTAAAAGTAGGCCTTAGACAAGGATGTGTGATGTCACCATGGCTGTTCAATATATTTATAGATGGGGTTGTAAGAGAAGTGAATCCTCGGATACTGGCAAGAGGTGTGGGATTAAAAGATAAAGAATGTAACACTAAGTCGCAGCTGTCACAGTTGCTCTTTGCTGATGACACTGTGCTTTTTGGAGATTCTGAAGAGAAGTTACAGAGGTTCGTGGATGAGTTTGGTAGGGTATGTAAAAGAAGAAAATTGAAAGTGAATATAGGAAAGAGTAAGGTGATGAGGATAACAAAAAAATTAGGCAACGAAAGATTGGATATCAGGTAGGAGGGAGAGAGTATGGAGGAGGTGAATGTATTCAGATACTTAGGAGTGGACGTGTCAACAGATGGGTCTATGAACAATGAGGTGAATCATAGATTTGACAAGGGGAAAAAGGTGAGTGGTGCACTGAGGAGTTTGTGGAGACAAAGAACTTTGTCCATGAAAGCAAAGAGGGGAATGTATGAGAGTATGGTTATACCAATGCTCTTATATGGGTAGTGAATGTTGAAACAAGGAGAAGGCTGGAGGCAGTGGAGATGTCGTGTCTGAGGGCAATGTGTGGTGTGAATGTAATGCAGAGAATTCTTAGTTTGGAAATTAGCAGGAGGTGTGGGATTACAAAACTGTTTTCCAGAGGGCTGAGGAGGGGTTGTCGAGGTGGTTAGGACATATAGAGAGGATGGAACAAGATAGAATGACTTTGAGAGTGTATAAATTTGTAGTGGAGGGGAGGTCGGCCTAGGGAAGGTTGGAGGGAGGGGGTAAAGGAGGCTTTGTGTTCGAGGGGCTTTGACTTCCAGCAAGCATACATAAGCATGTTGGATAGGAGTGAATGCAGACAAATGGTTTTTAGGACTTCATATACTGTTGGAGTCTGAGCAGGGTACTATTTATGAATGGATTCAGGGAAACCAGCAGGCTGGACTTGAGTCCTGGAGGTGGGAAGTACAGTGTATACACTCTGAAGGAGGGGTGTTAATGTTGCAGTTTTATAACTGTAGTGTAAGTGTGCCTCTGGCAAGACAGTGATGGCCATTTCCCACCCTACCTTGGCGGGGAAATGGCAGGTGTGTTAATAAAAAAAAATTGACACAAATCCACCACCATTACAGTATGATCCGCACTTAGTGACAAATTCATTTACCGATGTGTTCTTAGGAACGGAACTCCATCGTTAAGTGATGAGAGGCTGTATATGCTAGATAATAAATTATTAAAGGCAACAGGAAGTATTTGTTATAGGCATCCCCCATTGCATATTTTCAGTATATTAGGTAAAAGGACATGTGCAACTAATGCAACATTTTATTATGGCAATGCACTGGCCTGTGATTTTTAGGACTCACTACCATGGGTTTAAGCCCCACCCATTCCATGATCTGTTTGCAATCATATTATAATTTCATGAGTCCTAAAAGCCAAATGTTGGTCCCAAGGTTCATAAATGTCGGTGCTATTTTGCTTAATACAGTCTCCGTTAAAGTTTGTGATGCTTGCAAATGCTTTTTTTGCAGAAGAAAATTATCAGTGAGGTTTTGGAGAAGAAGACGAAGACCTTAGAAGGAAAGAGAAGAGAAAAACAAGAGAAGACAGAAGCAGCAGAGCCTGGAAACTATAGCACTCTGGAGGAGGAAGAGGAGTGGTATGTGATATTACTATTACCACTTATAATCCATTTACAATTCATTATAATTTAAATATTTACCAGTTAACAGTCTATAATCCTGCCTTGCCACTGTTAACCTAAATGCTGAATGCTGACATTGACCCAGATCTATATGAATCTAAATAATCTAAACCCCAACCAACACTTAACTGAAAGCAGCTGTCTCTACTACACAACATCACAAGCTGGTACAGCCCTCAGTAATGCCAGGAATATAATTTTTTTTAATTACAACGTTAGATCCCTAAGTAAACACTATGATGACCTGGCACATCTACACACTACCAGGATACACAGCAATCCACAACTGCAGCCCAGACCAAATGAGAGGAGGTATTGCCATCTACTGTTGTAATAAACTGAAGCATGTGGTGTTATAACACCACATGCTTCAGTGATTAATATGGTGAATACAGGAGGACCCCACTTATATGGCAGGTTAGGTTCCAGGCTACTGCCGGAAAGCAGAATGCCATTTTTTCCACTTATAGATGCATATAAATGCCAGCTAACAAGTTTATTTCCACTTATAGATGCATATAAATGCCAGCTAACAAGTTTACACTAACATATTAACCCTTTGACTGTCGCAACCCCCAATCCTGAGGTGTCTCCTGGCGTCGCAAAATTTAAAAAAAAAATTATTTTTTCTTATGAAATGATAGAGAATCTTTTCCTGATTGTAATGACACCAAAAAAAACGAAATTTGATGGAAAACTGATGGAATTATGCTCTCGCGAAGTTAGCGACCTCAGCGATGTTTTCGCCAACTTTGAGCCCTATTTTCAGCTAATTCCATTGTTCCAGTCGCCCAAACTCATAGCTATTTCTTTAGAACTCCATTTTTTCTATCGATTGAGCATAAGAAACTGCCCATTTACCGATTTCAACTACCTAATAATGTGGTCAGAAATTTGGAATTTGGCCAATTTCACGAAAACTAAAAAATATGACAATTTCAAAATAAGGTCCAGAATGAACAATGCAGACATTCCTGGCTCTAAAATAACATTTTCTTTGTTCATCAGTCACATCTCCAGTCCCCTCTGATATTATTCTTGCTTTCTATTTTGAATTTTTATTCAAACAAAAAATAGAAGACTTACTATTATGCAGACTACTGCAATACTGTAATAATTGTATAAATAACATCAACCCATTCGTGACTGCATATTAGAATGGCTAATTGGACATTTATTGGAAAATGGCATCATTTGTTTACTTCTGAACATTGGCAAAAATCAAACATTTCCCCTTTTTGAGCTCCATTTCTAGGTTCTTTTTATAGTAAAATCAATCAAAATCACCTCTATTTCTATAAAATGTTTTCCATTCTATCAAATGAGACCAAGAAAGTGAGAATACAACCATAAATACTATACGAAAATAGACCACAAATTTGGCATTTTAATAAAAAAAAAACGGTCGGAGTTTTTTTTTCTCATTATGCACTGCGTGCTCCAGGATTTTTTTTATATGGTGCACACTGACCACACAGACCCATTCTCTCACATGTGGGCCTATCAGCTTTCTCCTGCTTGATTTGAAGCTGCTAGAATTTATGAGTATATATACGTCAAACACGGTACCTCGTAAGACGTACATATACGGCCGCGACAGTCAAAGGGTTAAGTTAGCAATAGAACTAGGCATTAAAAACAATAAAAAGTAAAATACACATACAATACACTCATTATTTACCTCAAAATATTTGTAGTCTTAATTAATATAGGGCAAAAGGTGAGTAGTATTTACTGTAAGAAGTCAGGTGTGAGAGGTATGGTAGCCCTCCTGGCCACCCCACCCACACATAATATACTACGACGCTTAAAGCGCCCTAGAGTGATAAAATGCATGTATAGTACACTCATTACTTACCTTAAAATATTTGTAGTCTTAATGGTCTTAATATAGGGTGAGAGGTGAAAAGTATTTATTTATAGAAAGTCATGTGTGGGAGGGAGGGTAGGGTAGCTTGCCTGGCTACCCCACTCACTATGTAAACAAATAGACAAAGCATCTGGTTATGGTTCATAAACATTCATACAAACACCTTACATTGTGTAGAAGTTGTCTCCTCAGTGGTACAGTAGAATAAATAAAAACCAACACTGCCATTCTTGTGTAATTTTTAGAACGAATGATGCTCTGACAAATTATTATTATTATTATTATACAGTAGACCCCCGACGTACAATGTCCCCAACTACGTTAAAACCATCCTACAATGCTTTTCGGCGTAAAAATTTGACCCCAACGTACGTTGAAAAACTCGACCTACAGCATTCGTCCGGTACCGCGTCCACATGTCTGTCCGCCTGAATGGGCCTCAGCTGGCCTGCCTTCAGTTAGTATGTCAATGTTTACAAGCCAGAGCGTTCCATGACTCGGAATATTGTATTCCAGTAGTTTGTGATCTAGCTATAAGCCACATGGCCAAAGAAGCTTCTAGTGAACCTGTGGTAAAAGGTGAGAAATATTATGTATTATCTCAGTGCCTGACTCTGAAGGGGGTGTTATGTTGCAGTTTAAAACTGTTGTAAGCACCTTCGCAAGACAGTGATGGAGTCAAAGGTGAAAGTTCTTTTTTTCGGGCACCCTGCTTGGTAGGGAATCGGCCAGTGTGATAATAAAAAAAACTATCGTACCACGGTCAGCTGCTGCTGTAGCACCGTCAGCTGCTGCTGTAGCACCATCAGCTGCTGCTGCTGCTGTGTCGTCGGGGTTTGTTGGAGATTGGATGGTTGCAGTTAAACACACTTGTTGGATGGTAACACTTATATTGCCAGACTGTGGTAAGGGAGGCCCAGCCTGCCTGTTGCTACTCGGTAGGTCTAACTGGAACTGAGAGAGTTACAGAGGCTCTTACGCACACATGCGCATCATGTGACATCACACAAACTAGTCCCTAGGCCTAGCAAGGGATCGTGTATGTAAAACATATGGATGGTGCTGGAGGTGAATGGAGAATGAATGGTGAATGGAGACGAATGGTTTTTAATACTTGACGTGCTGTTGGAGTGTGAGCAAAGTAACATTTATGAAGGGGTTCAGGGAAACCGGCAGGCCGGACTTGAGTCCTGGAGATGGGAAGTACAGTGCCTGCACTCTGAAGGAGGGGTGTTAATGTTGCAGTTTAAAAACTGTAGTGTAGAGCACCCTTCTGGCAAGACAGTGATGGAGTGAATGATGGTGAAAGTTTTTCTTTTTCGGGCCACCCTGCCTTGGTGGGAATCGGCCAGTGTGTTAATAATAATAAAAAAAAAATGGATGGTGCTAACTATGGTACTCAGATAAGCTATACAACACATGTAGGGGATCAGCAACTATGCTGACAGCTCGGTCATGTTACGTATGTCGTCCCGACATACAATACTACACTATAGGCTGAACAGGCAGGTGGCTCTGGGCTGATTCTATACAATAACAAAGACATATGTAACTTAGAACTAATGGATGTTATCATAATGGGTTTTAACGTAATGAGTTTTAACATAATGCATTATGAATTATAAGAACAAATCATGGTATAATAAAGGATGGAATTGATCGATCGATCTGCATTCATGCACTCTGCGGATTCTGAGGAAGAATAAATATATATTTACAAAGGTGAAAGTAATTGACAGTAAGGCAGATCTGGTGCACACAGATCATTACTGCTAAATTCTCAGAACTCGGAGGGAACGTGAACACAAAAATTTCTGAAAAACTGATCAGCTGATAACAAAACACACAGTTGAGAACTTCATTCATCTTGGACATCTAATTATACAGACTATGTACATTTAAACCCAATTCTGTGAGGGTAAGATTTACATATGCAGAATGGTTATCATCTCTGGGAGGATCGAATTCCTTTGCAATGGCTAACACATGCCTTGACTGAGGGAGATCTGAACAAGTATCTACAAAAGATACAGCTACTTCACTAGTGACTGTGGAATTACTAATTAATATATTCTTCTGCTAGGAGTACCCAACTCGGTTGATCGATACAGTAATTCTGGGCTCATTACAAAGTCACTAATGGGTACTGGTGGCTTCACAGTCTGAACAAGATCTTCCTGGAGCAGGAATAGAATCACACCAGACCACATGGGATCGGTTTTTTCTTACTGGAGGAATGAACAAACTCAGTGGAGTGGATGACTCTCCCCAGTTGAATAAAATAAAGCTATAACAAGCAATATGAGCAAGGGAGAATGGATCTACTATCTCTCACTGCAAGCACAGGGAAGAAGAAATGAACACGGTCAACAATACTGATATTCAAGCTGAGTCACACACAGTGACACGAGGTATCATCTATGAAGAAACTACACTTACAAACGTTAACAACATGTGAAAGTTACTCAAGAAACAACTTCTTACATTGCACGAATTACTGTCAACTAGGATGGGATCACCATCTGGAACACTAGGGACAACAACAGACACTCTAGTGAGAGCACTAGCTGCAACAGAGACGTCTTTCTTTAGGCAGCATGTGACATCAACAAGAGATGTCATTACTAGTTTCAAGTAATCGTTTTCTGACAAGGCGTCCCCTATGGAGAAACTACTACTTGAACTAGCAGACATTGCAGGGATAGGCTGTGCACTCAAGGCAGTCTGAGTGTCCCCGGACACTTGAGGCAACGGAACACTATCCTGCAAGTCTGAAGGTGTAGGTGGAACACTGATGGGAGTGAGAGTTACTAGTGCCTGACCGCTTGGCTACATTAATAAGGAATTCACGGATCTATAGGAACTTAATCTGAACTTTACATTCCGCAACACTTTAACAAATCTCAGATACAAGCTGTGAGAACAAACACATTGCTCAAGGGCTTGGTATTGTCTTTCAGTCAGTAAGGGAATATTGGTACTGTGGACTGATTCATATTGACTTTGACTGGCATGATACACTAAGTGAACATTCAAAAGTGACTGGGACATGTTCTCGGGGAACTTACTGAAGGACATAAAGGCAA